TCTGGCCGCCAGGGAGAGTGGAGAGCCCCGGCCGGGCTCGCCGCCTCCCCCGGCGCTCTGGCCGCCAGGGAGAGTGGAGAGCCCCGGCCGGGCTCTCCGCCCTGCTCCCGGCGCTCTGGCCGCTGGGGAGAGCGGAGTCGCGGCGGGCTCGCTGCCCTCCCCCCGGCGCTCCAGCCGGTCGGGTATTGCAGGCCCGCGGCTGGGCTCGGCGCCCTCCCCTGCCGCACTGGGGGTGGGGAGGCGGCGGGTGGCTTTTTTGCCTAGGGCGGCAAAAAAGTCAGAGCCGGCCCTGCTCCGGGGGCATACACTGAGCATGCTTGTTCCCAGCTCCCATCATGGAGCTGGTTCGTTGTGCCTAGTGCCACTCAAGAGAAGTTTAGTGAGCCTCTCTGATAACAGAACTGATTTGTCCTGGAAAACTTGCCACTCTGGCGTCATTTTCAGTCATTCCCTTGTCAGCCCAGCCCCATACCACCATTCTGGGCTTCATATCCCAGACACAGTACAACCCACAAGACTGTCTCAGAATAGGAGCTAGGCAGATGGGTAGATATCAGGGGGGTTCATTTGTGAGGTGCTGAGCTTCCTCACAATTGCACACCTCTCTCACACTTCCAAAAGAGGCTCCACTGTGGCCAGATGTTGGGCAGAACACACAAACATACACACCTTTTAGATTTCCTGAGGAAAGAATTTGAATGCCCACTCTTGGGATGCAAGGGTCAGGACCCATTCCCTTAAGCCACCAGTGAGCATGTTATTCGGTATGTGTCACTCAATAGGTTGTTTCTGAGAAAACACTAATTTGCAGATGTGTGAACTGTGGTAAACAGAAATGTTAAAACTTTTGTACTGCAATATATTTCTAAATTGATCACTGGTACTCTTGTATAGCTGAACTCAGGGGCAGTCCAGTGATATAAATTTTATGGGAGTCAAAGCTACATTTTTTTCCATGGCTCTGTGAAAAAAAAGGTATAAGATTTGAACAAATAACATCAAATTTGCACCACAAAATGATGTTCAAGACCATCTTACTGTGCACATGGAATTTAGAGCACTTTGAAAATTAAAAGCAGATCCCTCTTGACCAAATGACCCTACATATACATAATAATCCTATGTGAAATACCAGTTTTCAAAACAATCTCCCCATACATGTGGATTTTAGATTACTTTGAAAAATTGGCTACTAAACACAAAGCTCTGCACAATCTTAATTGTAGAAGTCATTACTGCTCCACCATAACACTGCCTGCCCTCAGCAAAATTTCCAAAAGGAGCTCCAGCAATGTGTGTAGTAGATCTTCTCAGAAATCTGCCAAGGGCAGTACTTGAACTCATACCCCTTGGATGTTACTCAGGTTCAAAGACAAGTGTAAATTTACCTAAGCCACCAAGTCCTAGAGCCTTAAAAGTATTTAGATGCCTAACTTCCATTGAAATCACGCCAGTCAAACAACATACATTTATTATAGCTAAATGCAAGGAACAAAGACTGAAGGACACATTTAACAGGCTGGGGGAGAGTATTCTGAAAAGCAGTGACTTCAAAGAGGACTTAGAGGTCATTGTATGTGACCAATTGAGGTCCCAGAGGAATGCTATGGCTAAAAGGACTATCACCATCCTTGGATGTATAAACAGAGCAGATCTGGATGTGTTCGTCATTGGTTTGAATATTCAATTGGGATCATGACCCCATCTGCTGATGGCTCAACCCCATTTGGGTTCCCATAGTTTGGGAACTGCTATTTTAAATCAAGATTGGATGCCTTTCTAAAAGATGTACTCGAGTTCATCCAGAAGTCAATGCAGAAATTACTGGGTACAACTCTATGGCCTGAATCAGCAATATTCAGTAGATTCATAGAAGATTAAGGCCAGAAGGGACAATTAAATCATCTAGTCTGACCTATATAACAACCAATACTTTCAGCTCAATCACTTGTGTTTGACTAAAGCATATTTTCCAGTCTTGATTTGAAGACATCAAGAGAGATGGAGAATCTACCACTTCCCTTTATAGTTTGTTCCAATGATTAATCTCCCTTGCTGTTAAATATGAGTGCCTTATTTCTAATTTGAGTTTGTCTGGTTTTAAGTTTCACCCATTGGTTCTAGGTATGCCTTTCTCCACTAGCTTAAAGAGCCCTTTAGTACCTGTTATATTTTTGCCATGAAGGTATTTATATTCCACAATTAAGTCACCTCTCAATCTTCTTTTTGGTAAACTAAACAGATTAAGCTCCTTAAGTCTCTGACTGAAAAGGAATTTTTTCCAGCTCTTTAATCACTCTGTGGCTCTTCTCTGCACCCTCTCGGATTTTTCAATATCCTTTTTAAAATGTGGACACCAGAAGTGCATGCCGTATTCCAGTGTCAGTCTGACCAATTCTGGCAAACAGAGGTAAAATCACCTTCCTACTCCTATTTACCATTCCCCTATTCATACACCTAAAGATCACATTAGCTCTTTTTGCCACAGCATTAAACTGGGAACTCATGTACAGTGGCTTGTCCACTATGGCCCCCTAAATCCTCTTCAAAGTCACTGCTTTCCAGGATACAAGTCCCCCATTCTGTAGGCATGACCTGCATTTTTTGTTCCTAGATGCATGTGTAATAAAACACATTTTGTTTGATTAGGCCCAGCTTACCAATGGACCCAAATCACTTTGTATGAGTGCCCTTTCTTCATTATTATTTACCATTCCAGTAATCATAGAATCATAGAAGATTAGGGTTGTAAGAGACCTCAGGAGGTCATCTAGTCCAACCCCCTGATCGAAGCAGGACCAACCCCAACTAAATCATCCCAGCCAGGGCTTTGTCAAGCCAGGCCTTAAAAACCTCTAAGGATGGAGATTCCACCACCTCCCTAAGTAACGCATTCCAGTGTTTCACTTTGTGTCATCCACAAATTTTATCAGCGGTGATTGTATATTTGCTTCCAGATCATTGATGTTGAATAGCACGAGACATAAAACAGATCCCTGCAGAACCCCACTACAAACACCTCCAGACAATAATGATTCCCCATTGATAACTACTTTGAGATCTGTCACTTATCCAGTTCTTAGTCCATTTAATGTGTGCTCTACTGAGCTCAAGGCTTAATCAAAGGCCTGACAACCCAGTCACATGACAGTCCTCACCAAACACAGTATCATACCAACCACACAGCCTTCACAGAAAAACACCAACACAGACACACACACACTAGCAAAGTCTCTTACCTCCAAGAACAGGATCTGCTTCTGAGTTTTCTCTGTAACAGTTTTACATAGTAGGAGAAATGATCAATTTTTTTGTTGGAAACTCTTTTCTGGATAAAAAGGGCCTTTGTAATAAACCAAAAGTTTTTATTATTTTTTCAAAAAATGCTGGGTTTTTTTAATTGAAACTGAACATTTGAAACTTTGAAAGGTCAAACTCTTGAAATTTTGGGGGGTTGTTTTTCCCCTTCCTTATCCTTTTCCCCTCTAAATACAATCAAATGAATCATATGTCGTTGTTTTTCTTTTTTCTTCTTCTTCTTCTTCTTCTTCCTCCTTTTGGTGCATTTCATAACTTTTCAAAACTTCCTCAACTTTTGGAAAAGTTACAGAATGAAAATGAAAGTCTCTAACTCTGCCACTCCATCATACTCCCTTATCAAGTGTAGAGATAAACCAGTTCAGCTACAATAGCTGAAGTCACACTTACCCTTATTTCACTAGTTTTAAGTATGTCCCTAAAGTGCTGTAATAATAAATCTCCCCACACAAATTGCTGGTAGAAAACTTCCATGAGCTATGTGCCACTGTCAAGAGGATGGGACTCTTCAAACCTAGTTATCTTTTTTTCTTCCTGAATTTCCTTCAAATTCTGATGCTAGAGGCTGCTGGCTGGTTCACCCTCTGCTACATTGGAACATCCTTCATGCCCTTTCTCACTGCAGCATTGCTGCTAACAACAGCTCAGGTAAACTGCCCAAATCACTGTTGTGAGGGACACATGTATTTACATGTTATTTATTCCTACTCTAGTCACTTCCTCAGCTGCTGACTCTGCTATGGCCCTTTGCCCTGTTTCATAAGGTGCAGCTTCTCCAACGGAGTGTCTGCAGTGTCCAGCAATGATGCTTTATTGGATGGTTCAGGCAAAGTTGTTCAGAACAGCTAAAAATACTGTAGTACTGCTGGGAACAGGGAACTCACAGCTTTTTTAATCTGCAGGAGGAACTGTGTCTTGTAGAAGCTATGGATGTGGGAAACTCATACCTCTTAAGTTGCCACCCTGACTCAGAAAAAGGTTCTGAAGAGAAGCAGTGGAGGAGCACTGGCTGTAGGGTGCTCAGACCAACTCCAGTCTCTATCTGTCTCAGAACGCACATACAAGAGAGGTACTGCATTAAGTGAACTCAGCCCTCTGTAATGTGCTTTTTGTGTGAGTGTAGCTAGAACTAGCAGCCCACATTTCTCCTATCTATAGTTTACTGGGTCCCCTCCTCTTCCCAGTCTTCTTCCCACACTGGACATGGCATTGTCTGTGTATAATCTTTTGTGTCTGAACCTAGAGACACTTTATGGGTGGAACTGATTAGGTTCGAGTGTGTTACCTGAACTCCACCTAATCACAAGCTTTTCCCTTCTGTAGACATAGAGAACGTATTTTTTCTCAATTGAGTTGAGCTGGTTGAGGTCATCCCTCAAATAACTCACTCAAGATTAAATGTGTTACTCTGCATCTACACTCAGAAAAAGGCTGCAGTTAAATTGAGGTTATCTGACCAATGACAACCTCTTTTCACGTGTAGACAAGCTGTGTGTGTCAGCCAAGTCAGGTGGTGCTCTGTACCTTCACCAGGTTGAGGTTGGGATGCACTGAAAAGAGGAGTCCCCAGGAATTCATGTGTTGAGACAAATGTGTTTCTGGTCCCTTTCACTGTGCTCTCCCCAATATGGGCTTGGGATGCACTGATAATAAGGTGGGGGCGTTCTTTAAGACTGAGTGTATAGCGGATACAAAAGATGTCCCCCATAATAGCAAAGGGCACGTTCATCAAGTTAGGTTGTTTAAATGATAGTCCTAGGGACATCTTTTACCCTGCACTGTGAGTGTGGAGGGTAGAAATTGATTCCTGGTGTCATCAGAAGGCATTGCCATCCAGTTGGAGCTGGGGTTGATTGACAGAGGCTGGTTTTATAGAGTTTAAAGCCAGAAGGGACCACCAGATCATCTAGAACTGAATGTGCAAAGACGACATAGCACTGCCCTGGCCCTGTTACAGAAGTTCAAGGAACCCTGGCCCTATTTTATCAGTGATGCATTTTCTCTTCCAGTTCCAGGGCTGATGGTTCTAGCATGATTTGGGGCACCTTTCAGTCTTCACCAAGTCCAAATGGAACCACTTGTGTCATGAGTTTGTGATATGCAATCTAAAGGTAAGTGCCTAAGGGTATCCATTGGAACTTCAGCAGGGGAGGTTAAAAGAGTGAGCCCCTTCTGTTCAGAAAGTCTCTTATGGATAGTCTGCCCCATAAATGTAGCAGAGAGGAGAACATGATGCAGTTCTCAAGGAAAGGGTGAACAAATAATGGATGAGGGCTCATGCAGGCTCCCCCATGCCCCAGCCTTGTGAGCTCACGGAAGAAAAATTGCTAGAGGGGCCACCCAAAAACTCACCCAACAGGAGTAGAGGCAAGGCACCACAGCAGAGACCTTCAGATGGCCTTCCCTTATGTTTATTGGCTGTTCACTCCAGTTCCCTCCTTCAGAATCTCTTCATTTCAGTCTCACTCAGCCTGCCCTCCCTGTTCCCCTTCTTTGCTCCTTTTTTCTTTTATCCCCTTTCTATGTCCCTTTTCACTTCCTTTGTGCACCTAATTCTCCGCAACAAAACCTCACTTAGAATTCATTTTTATTTATTTATTTTGTGGAACTAATATGTTTGCAGCCATTATATTATTCACTCTACTTGTATATTAGATTTTTTTACTCCCCCATCCCTACCCCTTTGTCTTGTCTATTTAAAATGCAAGCCTTTCAGTGCAGGGACTGTTTGTGCAGTGCTTAGCACAACAGGGGTTTCTAGGCATTACCAGAGTTCAAATGATAAAATAATAATAAACGAGGCAATTTATATTTAGCAGCAGTGTGTTTTGATTCCTGCAGGGGTTGTCATCCACATGGCGGAATCGCCAACATAACCAGCATCACGCCAAAACCAACTGCTTCCCCAAGGACCCTGATATTCTACTACATCACTCCCTTTTTGCCTTGGGAAAGACACTCTCTGTGGAGGTGAGTGTGAGGGAATGGTTTTGAACAAACTTGGTTTCTGAAAGGATATAGTGCTAAAAGACCTAGCAGTCAGGAAGCTGTAGTGTATTGGGAGTAACTTGTCCAGTGTGGGGGATTTTGGAGCTACTGAGTCACTGTTGGATTGCAGCCATTCTGGAAAAGGGCTGGTGCTGAGACATACTTGCTGCTTGGAACACTAGTGATTCCCTGGAGAAACAGAGAGTTTCACCTTGTTTGTTCAGTGTGGGTGTATTAATCATTCAGCATGGGGAATGTAGTTTACAGGGGAAGGTGTCCAGTAGCTTAGTCAGGACTATGATTATTTTATATATCTTTATGTGATTCAGAAATTCAAAACTGTTCCATAAGAAATCAGTGTTCCCAAGAGCCTGGCTTGGGACAGTAATAGAAATATACCTAACATCCTAGAGATCCTTCTTCATCACTGGTGCCTTAAAGGCCAGATTTTGGAAAGTGCTCAGTTCCTACTTAAACAACAAGGAGTCTGGTGGCACCTTAAAGACTAACAGATTTATTTGGGCATAAGCTTTCGTGAGTAAAAACCTCACTTCTTCAGATGCAACCTAAGTTCCTACTTAGGTACCAAAATAAGAAGCATCTCAATCAAACCAGTAGGAACCCAAGCCAACCTGATGAAACACACTCCGACTCTCAGGTGTCACTCTATACCACTAACTTCCTGAACAACAAACCAAAAACCACACCCAAACCTGAATGATAGTTAGGTGACTGGGAGAAAAAAAAATCAGTAGGCAAACCATAAGGACGAACAGATTTTAAAAGAAATTAAATAGCTAGGCTGGTACAGATCCCCAAACAGAAATTTCACAGAAGCGAACCACATTAACATTGTGAAATATGCAAATGACAGGCAGACTCCCGCCAAATTCAGAATCAGGAATCACAAACTGAATAGTAAAAGTGGGAGGAGCAAAGTAACGGGGAAACCCATGGAAACTGGACTGTCTGTCTAAGGTGACAGACTAAAATAAAGGTTTTTACTCCAAAGAAAGTAAGACAGTTGCTTCCTCAAACTATCAGAGATGCTAAAATATATTTAAAGAAAAAGATTGGTGAGGAAAAAACTGTTCCTCACCCTTTGAGAAAGAAAAGCAGGAGCAGAGACAGCATCACACCATGAAGCAACCTGCCAGCAAATCAAGAATGGGGAAACAACAAATAAGCACAGGGAATAAAACCCCAAACTTACTATCAAGCCTTAACCTGGTGAGAGGTTTTAGACCATATCTTCCTCTGAGAGAAATCAGAGGCTTCTATCCCTCTTACACTTTGGTAGCATCAGTATCATTTGTCATGGCAATACAGTTTTTTATTTGATTGCGGAGTGGCAGAGTTAGGAGCTGACTAAAAAGGTGCGTCTCAAGGAGGAAATAGAAGTGAGGAAGTGCTTCTGTGGGTGTTTCTCAGGGAAGGATAGGAGATCTCTGTTGCCCAGCTGACCTGTTGTGGTCTTCTCTCCTTCACAGCTTGGGATGATGAAGAAGAAATTGATACCATCAGCACAAATATTTCATCAGTGAGTATTTCCTCTTTCCTGCACAACCATCAGGCCCTCACTCAGTGTGGTAGGGACACCCTCATTTGTTGTGTAGGCCTCACATGCCAAGCCATGTGTCTGGGGGCAGGGTAGAGAACTCTAATTGCATCCCACTACCCCCAAGTCTCTTGGTTCCCTTCCACAACCTTTGGAGAGGCAGGAATTAACCTCAGATAAATGATGGTTTCTGATATAATTATCAGTGCATTTATCTGGGCAGGGACAAACCTGAACTAATAAAAGGGACCATTCAAGGACCTTACGGGTAATTACATGTACCACCTAGCATAGTACAATGTACTGGGTCTCTAACACTTAAAGACACAGAGCAATACTGTCTAACCCAATTGAGTCCAAGCTGCTTGGGCATAGTGTGAGCTTGGAGTCATGAATCCCAGTTTCTGCTGAATCACCAGGCATCCACCCTTGTGATTGCTATGTTGGTCATGGTTCCACTGCAGAGTCTGGGTCACTCTTCTAGCCCAGCTGAAGTTGGGGTGTGGCCTCCTGCTGAGCAAATTCTCTAGCCCTGGATTCAAGCTGCATTTGAGCTTGCTGCCTTCAGCAGCAATAAAGTCTAACTGCCCGAGTCTATGGCTCTCTTCCAGCCCTGTTTCCATGCCAGCCAATTAGCCCAGAGTCTACCAGGTGGTTGACAACAAATCACTTGTCCTTCTTTGGGCAGGGCTGAGTTCCCTCTCTGGAATGGCATTCCCCTCCTCCAGTGAGAGGCAGGATGGCAGCAAGAAGTCAGTGGTGAAGTTTCCTCACAGTCTTTCAACCAACCAGGGCTTTGGGGCAGAGAAGCCAGTTCCACTCTCTGCCCATCCTCTAATGAATGAAGGCTCAGGGAAAGGGTAAAAGTGGCCCTTCAACACAGCTGGCATGTGCATGTGGAATGAGCGAGTTCTCACCTAGCAATTTCCACAGCCTCCCAGTTTAATTCCTCCAAGAAAGCAGACAGAGAAGACTTTTCCTCCCAGCCTGGTGGGAGATATAAATACATGAGGAAGAAGCATGTACTGCTGCATAGGATGTACTGCATCTACAGGAGCTTCCGATGGGATGTGTGACGTTGCACTCCATATGCTTTATGAAAATATGCTTATGAATGTGAATATGATGTAACTGGAATATGCTTTATGCAAAAGGTTTCTTGTAAGATGTCATTACAAAGCTTATTTACTTTACTGAGTGTGTTCATCCTAATTGTTTGCATGTATTATTTCTATCTCTGAAGTTAGGAGAATAAGATATAAACTTGTATCACTGATGTAAACATATTAAGTGGAAGCCGTTAAGGGTGCTTCAGATTCAATGAACTGTAAATGGCTCTGTTTATTTGCAAACCTTCCTGTGTACATGTGGGCCAGTCCAGGAAGAATGGAGGGTGGGGGTCTCACAGGACGTGATCATGTCACCTGATATTGGAATCCATCTTAATCCCTGTACTTTTCCATTCGAAAGGAGGGATGGGGGCCAAGCACAGACAAAGGACTCCTGTCTTGTGCAAAAGCTATGTAAAGGGGGTGGAGCAGGAAAAAGGGGCTTCCAGTCATGTGAAAACCCCTAGTTACCACCTGAGACGGCTGCTGGAATTAACAAGGACTGTACCGGGGAAAGGATTGGGCCCAGACTAGGAAGGAGTCTAGTCTGTGAAAGAAGCTTCTTGGAACATCTCTGAGGGTGAGAAATTACCTGTAATCAGTTTCTTAATGTATTAGGCTTAGACTTGCATGTTTTTGCTTTATTTTGCTTGGTAACTTATTTTGTTCTGTCTATTTCCTGAAACCACTTAAATCGTACTTTTTATGCTTAATAAACTCACTTTTGTTTATTAATGAACCCAGAGTAAGTGATTAATATTTGGGGGAGCAAACAGCTGTGAATATTCCTCTATCAGTGTTATAGAGGGCAGACAATTTATTAATTTACCCTGTATAAGCTTTATACAGAGTAAAACAAATTTATTTGGGGTTTGCATCCCACTGGGAGCTGGGTGTCTGGGTGCTAGAGTCAGGTAACCTGCCGAGCTGTTTTCACTTAAAGCCTGCAGTTTTGGGGGCATGGCCCAGACCCTGGGTCTTTGTTGAAGCAGGTTAGCGTGTCTGGCTCAACAAGGCAGGGTTCTGGAAATCCCAAGCTGGCAGGGAAAACCGGCTCAGAGGTAATTTCAGCACATCAGGTGACAGTCACAAGGGGGTCTCTGTGACTGAACCTGTCAAAGGATGTGTCTGGAGAAATATGAGCTCATGTGCTAAAAGGGCAGGGTCGATATGCTACAGGGGCAACAGAGGGTGGGGCGAAAGCTGACTGAGAAAAAATGGTGATGGTGTGCCTATGAGATTTGCCAAAATGAGACACCTCTCAAAGTAAATTATGCAGACGTTCAAAATATCATCATATGTGCTGTTGGCTCAAATAGTCTCTTTGAGTTTGGCTCCCCCTTGTTGGGGCTTCAATATACCCACAGGCCCTGCGGGGCTCCTTGGTCTTGGCTTCTTCTTGAACGAGGGGAAAAAAGGTGAGATTCCCAAATGCCACTCCACTTGTGGCACCAAAATATAACATCACTCACAATAAACTGTTGCTCTGTGACCCTGCCTCTCTTTTCTGACATGAGGAATGTAATAGTTACATTTTGAGATTTAAATTGTCACTGGCCATCTGAGCTGAACCTCAATGAGATGAATGAGGCAGATTGTACATCTCAAAATTATTGCTCCAAGCTCTCTGCTGACTCCACTCTATGCCAGTTAACCTCCAAAGTGTGAACTGAGTGTTTCTTCACAGCCACAGCAGTTAGATACATGATTGAGAGAGAAAGATGGCTAGCTAGCTCCAATTCCGGAGAACAAGGCAATAGTTTCAGCGAAGTGCCAGTATAGGATATGGGTGCCTATCAGCTGTTTCCAACCTCAGAGTGAAAGGACAGCAAGGGTGAGATGATGATGAGAGAAAAGGGGAAGATGAAGTAGGGAGGAAGCTCCCCTATGAGCATGGCTTGATGTCAAGTAACAGAAAGCCTCCCCCATTCATTGCAGTATAGAATCATATAAACGTAGGGCTGGAAGGAACCTCAAAAAGTCATCAAATCCAGCACCCCTGCACTGAAGCAGGACCAAGTTAAACCTAGACCATCCCGGACATATCTGAACACCTACTGAGTTTTTATGAATTGAGCCTCATAACACCCCTACAAGATAGAGAAGTATTACTTATTTCCATTTTACAGATGGGGAATCGAAGCACAGAGAAACTAAATGACCTGCCCAAGGTCAAACAAGAAGTTTGTGGCAGAACCAGAAAGTAAACCCAGATCTCCTGGGTTCCAGTCTAGTACCTTAACCTCAAGACCTTCCAGAGTTACACTAATCCATCCTTTGTTTTTGGTTCTGTGGGTGACTTTCAGGGCCGGCTCCAGGTTTTTTGCCGCCCCAAGCAGCAAAAAGAAAAAGAAAAAAAAGCCACAATCGCGATCTGCGGCACTACCGCTGCCGTTTCAGTCTAGTCTTTGGCGGCAGGTCCTTCACTCCAAGAGGGAGTGAGGGACCCACCACCGAATTGCCGCTGAAGAGCTGGACGTGCCGCCCCTCTCTGTTGGCCGCCCCAAGCACCTGCTTGCTGGGCTGGTGCCTGGAGCCGGCCCTGGTGGCTTTGTGATTGGATAAGGACATTAATTCCTTGTGTTCTCCTGGTTCATTCTTCAGTCATAATCATGCTTCTGCTTCCATTCTTCACATTGTATTCACTGTATTTCACAATTCAATGCAAACTGTGGGTGGTAAGTATACCCAGCCCTTCACAAAAGCCGTCGCTAACGGGCAGCTGCCGTGCACTGTCCTTGCTCCTTCTCCTCCCCCCACCAGCACCTTCTGCACGCTGCTGAACAGCTCATCGTGGCGGGCAGGAGACATTGGAGGGGAGGGAGAGGAGGTGATCAGCAGGGCCCACCAGCAGGAGGGAGGCTCTGTGGGGGCAGAGGGAGGAACTGATCAGCAGGGCTGCCAGTGGTGCTAAGCACCCACTATTTTTTTTCCATGGGTGCGCTAGCCCCGGAGCACCCAGAGAGTTGGTGCCTATGAGTAAGTCATTCAAGCTGAGTATAGGTTTGCCCTTTGGGTATGGGAAATGTAACAATTGCAGTATGGCATCTCAAGACAGCTGGATAGCACTTCTCCCACAATCCTTTGGTGTTTGTGGAGAGGAGCTAGAATATAAAGACAGTAAGTGAGGGTTACCAAGTGAGGATCTGGGGATTTTGCTGGTAATGGCAATGGATGGGGAGTAGGCCTTATAGAGGATGTTTCATGGGCTATTTTTCCTCTGGAGCAGGTGGTGAAGGGAAACTACATGTGGAGAAAAAATAGGGTTATAGGCAAGGTGTCTCCGACTATATTCTTACTGCTGTGGGTGTTGCAGGGAATCTTTAGGCCCTTACATGGGAGGATTTGGTAACTCTGGTCCTGCTGGTGTGAGGTGGTGGTGGGTGCGGTGATGCTGCAAGCTGCCATCCTGCTGAAGGTGTCTCTCCTTCTTTCACGGGAACTGGCCTGGCTTCTGACTTAGTTCAGTGATTCTTTCTTGGCTACGAGCCCTTACTGGGAGTGAATGGAGTCCTGGGGCTCTTCCTACTGGTCAGGTATCAATTACCCCATGGATTCCCTCTGGCTGCTGGAACTCCCACCTCATCACTCAGTTCCTCTTCTGTGATCTCCACCCTGCCAGTCCTTCTTCTGCCTTCCCCCCTACGTCTCCAGCTCTCTATCTTCTCTCTCTCTCTCTGGTCTAATCTTTGGCCACCCTACCTGTCTCCCTTTAGCCTGTGCACAATTCATTGCTTTCTGTAATGTAAGAGCAGATATAGTGTTTTCCCTTTGTTGTCCTCACTTGTGTTGTGTGGACCTTCTACTGACCATTCACTAACTGGACAATACAGGAGACATTTAACTATATGGCTACTCGGTTTGGCAGGCACAAGGGAGTTGCTGGTTTAAGTGGAAAGGTGTTTAACCAGGCAGTTGTCAGTTTGGGCTTTTAGATCTGTTACTGGCCTGTCTGCGTGGGTATTTTAATGAGCAGGCATTGATTTGAAGAGGCTGGCTTTTTGTTAGCAGTAGTTGCCTAGGTTATGCATTTTTATCCAGCAGCCTCCAGCTTGGATGGGTGGCATGTTACTGGGCTGGACAGGTCTATAGCCTTTATCGTGGGCAGTGATTTCCCCCCTGTTTTCCTTCACAGGGTCCTGGGGAGTATTGTATTTTTCTGGGTATCGCACACAAACCACGTCCCAATGAACATCGATTATGATAAGAACACAGTCTGGTTCTCTGCCCAGGTAAGATCCTCTTCCCTCCTAGGTGTGCTGGAAGGCACTTATAAATGTTTAAAGAGTTAATACTGTAAATATCATTACTCCTGGCAATAGCGCTGAGGATCTGTGTCACTTTAAGGATATTGTTAATGAAGCCTAGATTAGCCTGGAAGGGTGTGAGTGGGGCACTTTTCATCCTGCTGCCCAGAGAGATATAAAATGTAGCATTTATGGATCCACACTCACTCCTTTCTTTCTTCCTCTCCTAGCTCCAGGCAACATGCAATGTGAACCAGTCCTTATTCAGCGACTGGTTCACTGGACACTTGAACTTCCAGATTGAGCACCAGTGAGTATAGGTCCTGGGAGAAGGGTGGGAACTCTCATGGGGCACCAGTGAGTGCAAGCATTGCAGAGGGATAGGGGACCCTCCTAACAGTGAGGGTAATTAAACATTGGAACCATTTACTCGGGGAGATGTTGAGCTCACCAGCATTTTAGATATCTTTCTAAAAGACACTTTAATTCAGTTTCTGGGGAAAATTCAACAGCTTGGAGATCAGACTAGTTGATCGTAGTAATGTAGAGCTGGAAGGAGCCTTGAGAGGTCATGAGGCCCAGGCCCCTACAGTGAGGCAGGACCAAGTAAACCTAGCCCATCCCTGACAGGTGTTTGTCCAACCTGTTCTTAAAAACCTCCAGTGATGGGAATTCCACAACCTCACTTGGAAGCCTATTGCAGAACTTATCTATCCTGATAGTTAGAAAGCTTTCCCTAATATCTAACCTAAATCTCCCTTGCTGCAGATAAGAACATAAGAACGGCCATGCTGGGTCAGACCAAAGGTCCATTTATTATCCCAGTATCCTGTCTTCTGACAGTGGCCAATGCCAAGTGCCCCAGAGGGAATGAACAGAACAGTTAATCATCAAGTGATCCATCCTGTGCTGCCCACTCCCAGCCTCTGGCAAACAGAGGCTAGGGACACCATCCCTGCCCATCCTGGCTTATAGCCATTGATGGACCTGTCCTCCATGAACTTATCTAGTTCTTTTTTGAACCCTGTTATAGTCTTGACCTTCACAACATCCTCTGGCAAAGAGTTCCACAGGTTGACTGCTTTGTGTGAAGAAATACTTCCTTTTGTTTGTTTTAAACCCGCTGCCTATTCATTTCATTTGGTGACCCTAATTCTTTTATGTATGAGGAGTAAATAACACTTCCTTATTTACTTTCTCCAAACCAGTCATGGTTTTATAGACGTCTATCATATGCCCCCTTAGCCGTCTCTTTTCCAAGCTGAAAAGTCCCAGTCTTATTAATCTCTCCTCATATGGAAGCTCTTCCATGCCCCAATCATTTTTTTTGCCCTTTTCTGAACCTTTTCCAATTCTAATATATCTTTTTTGACATGGGGAGACCGGATCTGCACACAGCATTCAAGAT